TAGTGCACTATGCACCACGTACATGTAACATCTAGCGTCAGTGCACAGCAAACCAGTCAGAATTGCCTTGATGAAGATGACAGACTGTCATCGAAACGTCGGCTCGTAAAAATAAATGGTTGTGATCAAAGAACTTTGCTATTCATTCGTTTACCAACCCGATGAAATTATTTACGAACATGTTCTCTTTGTCATAACTTCGCGTTAAGAGGATGCTACGAAAACCGCAAGGATATGATGATATACAGTATGCCACACCTTCTTATCTGTGCTTGCGTGACAACATAAGAGTAGTACTTCGTGACCGGCAAGAAAATTTCAAAATGAACAGCCTAAAGGTCAATAGCCTTAAGGTCAATAATAACAAAAGATGCCAGGTCTCCGTGCCTTGTCTCGTCGTGCCTCCGGTCAATGACATGCTTATACAAAGGTTCGCTATCTGGTTAGGTCATTGATCGATGGGTTAGTTAGCCGGTCTGTTGGGCACTTGGCCGCTTTGGCCGCAGGAAGAGATCTGGCCCTAATCTGTTTCAGTCACTGAAGAAAAGTACTGGATGCTACATAGCCACCACTACCAGGCATCGGGAAGCGACTGGGAAGAGTATAAATCGGCCAAACAGAGAGATAACATGCCAGGGGAGTTTGTCTGCTGGGAGAGAACATTCGGGTGCGGCAAAATGTTCTCTCCCAGCAGACAAACTCCCCTGGCATGTTATCTCTCTCTTTGGCCGATTTCTACTCTTTCAAGCCGCCTCCAGAAGCCTGGTAGAGGCTAGCATTACCTGTTTCCATCTGGAAGGTCTTCTCCACACCTCACCAAATCAGTCCGTACAAAAGAAAACTCATCACCAGCGTTAACTCCTGTCACAGTCTCTAGCCAACCGTTACTTTCGCTACCCACAAGAATGTCGCCATCTTCGGAGCCCAGGTCGTTAAAGTCGGTTGCCTTGAAGACGAGAAACATCGACACCCACTCGTCTCCGGAGTTTGAGACGTATCCGTTCCCGACACACTTGTACACTGGAACAACTGGTCAGGAAGCGAATGTGTATGGTTACTGCTAAAACTCAATTCACGGACTGACAGGAGCTATATAAAAAGCAAGAACGAAATATAAGACGTGACATTTGCAAAGCAAATGCATAATGTTTACCCTCACATGGTATGAAAACTACTGCGATGAGTGTGCAATGTAAATTTGTTCTTACTTCAACCAAGGACATTATACAAGATTTGCTTCAACGCATTTGTACATGTGGTGAACAGACTCTCAACCTTCTGTTGTAGGAACAAGAAACAGAGCAAAAAAAAAATTATGTTTTCCTTGTTGGATTTAGACCAAACATAGCTATAGTCACAATTAATCTGAAAAAAAAACAGGTCTATGTATCTAAGTTTTTCACACTTGACTGAAGAACTTGCTTTTGTTACTTATGTGAATTATTTTTGTTTCTTCAGAATCTCTGTAAGTATACACACAGTGTATACTAATGTCTTATTGTTTTCCAACTGCTATCTATTTGTTTTGTTCTATGTGTATACGTATATGTATAATTAGCCTTTGGGCATGGTTTTGCAATATCTATATTATATAACCGTGCATAATTACATAATTATTTATTTCCAGTACCCAGTGACTGAAATCCCAAGGAACCCAAAGTTGTCACCAACAAGAAAAGTTTTCTTCATGACCTTGCCCTTCTGTACTACTGTTGATCAACTTTTCTTTGGCAGAGAGGCCTCTGAGCTACGAATCACACCTATCTTGTGCCCTTGGGAAAGGCACTGTACACGACTTTCCCCACTTAACTCAGGTGAAAATTAGTATTGTCTGTCCTGTATTTGTTTCTATGTGTGGGACACAACACCAGCAACACCAGCCTATGTCCTACGTGTATTGCACTGTTGCAATTTCAATAAATCAAATCAATTACAGCATGCCCGTAGCCAGGGGGGGTTCGGGGGGGTTCGGAAGAACCCCCCCACAAGGCTCAAAGGTCCACTTTTTGGTCCACTTTTAATGTAAAGGTCCACTTTTTGGTCCACATTTTCTGTAAAGGTCCACTTTTTGGTCCACATTTTATGTAAAGGTCCAAGATTTTTCTTGAAAAGATGTACTGGAATCGTAAAAAAACTGCTCTCTTTGTCATTGAATAAAAATTTATCTCTGATTTTCTATTGGAAATCCTCTCAAAAATGCACGAAATGCAATTTTAGAAGGTTCATTTTTCAAAATTTTCCGGGGGAGCATGCCCCCGGACCCCCCTAGGAACCGCGCTCGAGGTCCACTCAAGCAGTTGGAAGAACCCCCCCATTCAAAATCCTGGCTACGGGCATGTACAGATGTTCCTTAATGACTTACCGTTGTTGATGACTGTCACATTGCTGCTGTTTACTGGCAGGTCTCCGCTGATGGCAGTGGACAGCAACACCGGGTCCGGTACGTCTTCTTCAGTTGTATCGTCATCGATGGCGACAGGATCCACTTCCTCTTTAAAACTGCTGTACGCCACGACATCTTCTATGTTTGCGGCGCTCCCCAGTACAAAGGCAAAGGGTCCTGGATAATGAAGATAAAAAAAAGAGAGAGAGAAAATAAAGAAGGTAGGCAATAAACTATTGTCATGATGACGATTTAATTTTTATTGTATGCAATGTTTATGTAGAATAAATTACACGAATGTACAGTATTGCAGTTCCTTTTCTGTTTTATACTGCCAAGCCGAAATGATTCGCGCAGGTGTATTCTCCGATCCTATGATGTTGTGTTATTGCTGTTGCGGGCAACACTTGGGTGGCAAGACCTTTCTTACTTCTGGGACAAAGTCCAAAGACAAAGATTATAGGATTTACATACCGGATGTAATTCTATAATGTAAGTCTATAACAGAAAATACTACATTTTTGCTCAAATGTATGTTATCCCTGTCTTAACTTATAGTATCTTATCTTGACAAAAAAATCCATGCCAATTGTGTTTTTATACCTCACGTTCTTTTACTGTTCTAAAGTGTTCCATAGTAAATACATTTTAGCAATTAGAACTTTGCCAAAGCTGCAGTTATGGCACTCACCGACTGGTGCCGTACTCTCAACAACATGCATAACCCCGCCGGCCTGGCCGCTCACAATCACGTCACCGTCTTGGAATGGCGTCGGGTACGGTGCCAGAAACAGCGCCGCGTTGTCGCCGTACTCCTCTCCAAGCGTCACGGGGCACATGTAGAGCGTGGTGACCGCCGGGTCGATGGCCCGGACATTGTCCCGGATCTGGACGACGTTCTTGTGGGGTTCGGACTCGTTATGGGCCGGCAGACCACCGGGGCAGGCCGCCTCGTTCCAGCCGGGACACGGTACGTCTACCTGTGAAGAAACAAAACAAACTAGAAAGGCCAATATTTGCTTTGGAGCAAATACAGCGATGGGTTCACCACATTTTACGACATGGCAGGGAAAGAATGAGAAACACAAGGGAAAACAATGATTTACATTGATATAACTATAACATGAAGTAACATAAGACTAAAACAACAGTTGGATAGCTATTCCCTACTTTATTGGTTAGGATTTTTAATTGCATAATGCAAACTGTTGATTTTCAAAATAAAAATAACGTTCATGCCCCGCATTCCAATGCTGGAGCAGGAAAGCTTGAAATACCTACCAAAACACTTGAATACAGACATACTGTCAGTATGGAAATGCCCTGTGCAGGTGTTAATCAAGTTAAATCCCAACAGCCAATCAGCAAGAAATGCTCTGTGCAGGTGGAAATACTCTGTGCAGGTGTTAATTAAGTTAAATCCCAACAGCCAATCAGCAAGAAGAATAGAGGAAAGCTGCATGCCTATTGGTTGATGCCCTGCATTCCATTGTGATGACTCATACCCAAACGTGGTAAACATGGCACACTAACACAGTAATACATTTGCTATAACACAGCCAAAAACTCAAATAAAACCATTCTAAAAGCCTGTATCACAAAAATTTAAAAAACGCCTAGGGGTATTTGCCCACTGTACCTCCATACCAAATTTCAGGATCTTAGGCTTAAAATGAAGAAGCTGAATCCATTTAAAAAATGGCAGGAGAAGAAGAAGGAGGAGAAGAAGAAGAAGAAACACCAGAAAAAGCAATATGGTTTCACCACACCACTTCGTGGTGTGGTGAACCCATAATTAAAAGCTAGCCCGGGCTCAAAAAAGAACTAGATGAAGGCATCGCCAACCTGGAAGTGACGTATACTCGTTCTGCACGTAAACTGGCAACCTTATTCTAGCCAATATTAAGTGATTTCTTCATCAAAGACCACAAACAGTAAGGCATGGCATGGCATGGCGTATAAATGGCTTCGGAAATGGCTTCAATGTACGAATGAAATACGGAACGTTCCAATGTTCCAACGTACGTACCAGTGAAGCCGGGCTATAAACCCAGCTGTGGCCGTGCAAATGATATAACATATATATAGCATGATGTAACTTTGTTCTTAGGGACTGTTACTTGGTAATATTGTTAGTGGTCGTTTTAAAGATGAGTTTATGATATGGACTGTTAGTACCATGGTCTTCCGTAGTATTAACAAGCCTCAATATCCCTACCTCTTGTTGGAAGCAACTCTCCACTCCCCTGCAATGTTGACACACGTCAGGGTTGTAAGAACTGAGTCCCTCGTTGCAGTGCGTTTCGTCACAGTCCAGTATCTGCACGGAGGTGTTATCAAGAATGATGAAGGATCATGTTAAAATAAAGTGCTATAAGATCAACAAGAAATAATCGGGGATGAAAGACTTCTGGTTAGTGTCTTGGGTTGTCATGAATTGTGTTGCGACTGTTAAGCGGATCTTATGAATAAATGAATAAATGTTCGACAAATTTATCGCTCGACAATGGTACACAATACAATGTATGTCATTGTAACAACAAAGCTGCAGAACTAAATTGTTCTACAGTTATTACTATAAATTATAATCGATGTCAATCTTTGAGTTACAACAAACTCGTGTATGGATGATTTGGATTGAAGTATAAGAAATTGACCAATGTAGGCAGAATAGGAGTTGGACACGGCAACAATATATTGAAAGTATCGTTCTGTGTACCACATAAAGTGACGTTTGTTGATATGATGTAACACCTCTCATCCTCCATATAAATACCCATCTGACAAACGTTTCTTACCCTCGTAAATGTTCGCCATATAAACAAACTATACCACTACGGACAAATCCCTCGACTATGTCATCCTCCTCTATGCCATCCTTATTCACGATACTTATACTGTATTCCGAAACGTGTTATTCCAAATTAGGTTTTGGAATAGACCAAAACTTTAAATGTAACAAGCAATCCACTTTGTGTTTTCCAAATAGTGATTTGGAATGAACTACGGTTTGGCATGTAAATGCCTTCGACTTCGTGTAAGTCATGATTTGGAATGCAACAGCTACTCCATTGACAATGATACCCTTGTGATTTGTCCAGACAAAACCATTGACGCTGAATAAGATTAACAGGCACGTTTGGAATTGACAGGCAACGTTACACTTATACATCATTGTTGGAAAAGTAATTACCTCCATGAAATGTGTCATGGAGGTTATATTTTCAGTTGCGTTTATCTGTCCGTCCGTCCGTCCGTCTGTCTGTTGGTCAACAAGATAACTCAAGAACGCCTGGATGGATTGGTTTCATACTTGGTGTGTTGGTAGGGTGTGACGAAAACTGGAAATGATGAGATTTTGGTCCCCCTAGTGGCTTCCCTTGGTACTGCAGCGCAACTTCCGGTTTTGATATCTCGCGATCTGGACATGCTAGGGTCATGAAATTTGGATGATAGGTAGCTCTCGTGCTTGGGAAGAAGTCACATGAGTTCGGGCCCCCTAGCGGCTTGTTCTGGAACTGCAGGGCATTTTCTGGTGAAATGTTTAAAAGCCAATAAGTCCAGACAGGAACAACATATTTTCATTATTTTTGGTGTGTAGGTAGCTGAGAGAGAAATGGACATAATTAAATGTAAATTATGCAAATGAGGACTTTATTTGCATAATTAATGAGGAAATTCTATAATTACAGTGTTTTACATTATACTATGTAACCTATGGCAGGCGGAACTTCAACAGATACTAATTATGCAAATGATGACCTAATTTGCATAATTAATGTGAAAATTCTATGATTTCGTAATGGTGAATGATGAGAATGTCATACTTGGGACATCTGTAAGTTAATCAAAAGTTAACATACATCACGATGCATATATCATGTTAATGCAGAGGTCATTTGAACAATTAAAGAAGAAATTTACATTTACATATCAAGATCATATTTCATGGAGGTATGAAATCTCGGAATTCTAGTTTGATATTATGTTGATCTCTGAAATAAATAGAAAAAGAACACGCAAATTGTAAAGCATAAGATGGCAAAAGTAGTACACGAATAAAAAGGGGCCTCAAATCCAGAATAAAGAATTGCTTTCAGACAGAAATATAATTAATTGTTTATTTTATTTACTTATTCTATATTTATTGGAATTGCAACTTTGCAATACAGTTGGCTACCCAGACAGCAAATTAAGGCTTAAATCGGTCACCACGGTTTAACAACATCGCATATTACATACACTAAAGATCGTATTGTTCAGCACAAATTATTGATCGGGGCCACAGGTCATGTTGAGGGGAAAATATATATTTTGTTTACAATACATGTGGTTGGTAGGAACAGATGGGAGGACGTAGAATCGATTAGGCCACAGCAAATAAATTTTATGGATGACATTCTCCGCAGACTCTAAATCTAACAAGGCGGGCCGAAAAAAACAAGGTTCCTACATTTTAAAATTTTGACTCAATCAGTGTACAAATGGTTTTGATTCAGTGGGAACATCACATATACACAGCCAGCATGACATATCACTGCATCAAAGTAAGAAACAAAACATTAAATCAGAGCCTTTTCTTGTCTCCTCTCTTCATAGTTATCTGCCATCCACCTTCCGGCATGGCAACAAACATCTTTGCCCATTTTCGGCATGGTGACCACTGCCAGAAGGCAACAAAATTTTTTTTTTCCAAAATCAGGCGAAAATTAATGCGTGCGCTGATGTCATCCATCAAACTTACTTGCTGTGGCCTTATTTGATAAAAATGTAGTTGTTGAAAACATTAAAACGTTTCTTCCATCTATTCCTACAACACTGTAAATATTGAAATGTTATATGATTTATTGGAATGACCTCTGGCCTCCTACCATACTGAGTTATATTGTTACTATAATGTCATTAGCCTATGTTATGGATTGTAAGTATAAGAGAGTTCTGTGTGATTTGTGACTTTATTGTGTTAATATGATGTGTGTATGTTTATGTATATATGTATTTCATAAATTGGGGCCCGACATCAGCTCAGCTGCCAGGGCTTTCACTGTATTGCAGTGTGGCAATTTAAATAAATGATTAAGACGTTAAGCAAAGCAAGGGAGACTACCTGAATCTGATCCGAGCACCCGGCCGTTTCGCCCGCAGAGAAGCAGCCGTAGTAGAACCAGGAAGGGCACGAAGTGTTGTTCGGGCCCCACTCGTCTCCTGGCAGACATGTCAGCGTGTTGTCGCACCAACCACACTCACTTTCTTGTGAGCACGAAGCACAGTCCGTGAAGTTTCCACAGTCAGCTGTAACAATAATAGATCAGTGTGGGTCGTGTGGCGTAACGGCAGAGTGCTCGACTCGGATCCGGAATCAAAGATCATCAAAAGATCTCGGGTTCGAGTCTAGCCTGGGTGCCAGACGCTGGCGTTCATAAGCAATAGATTGTTTTTTTTTTTTTGTGGAAAGAAGCCCTAATATCCGCTACTGTATCCGCCGCCCAACCCCAGGCTGCCCCAAACCCAATATCTTTCAAGCCAGCGAGGAGATAATTAGAGCCAGTGCGCAAATCGGGGTCGGCGGGGCGTGTGGCTTTCCCTGGCCGAGGTGCCATCTCTCACAGCTCGCGGTAGGGGATGGCGCCCAGGCTAGTTCGAGTCCTGACATGCCACCGATCCTGTGTCCTTGGGAAAGGCACTTTACACGGCTTTCCTCGCTTCCCTCAGGTGAAAATGACTATTGTATTGTCCCCTGTGTTGGTGGTGGCATTAATATAAGTTGAAAAAACTTGAGTGTGTCGTCACCATGTCTTGTGATTAGTTGTTGGAATATAAAAAAAATAATAGTAGATCATTTTTACCATCAACTCAACACATCACGATAAATACCTTTGTGTTGGGACTGGGAGATGTTGACGGATATGGATTGGTGTGTATTGCATTGATGTATAATATATGAGTTATGTGATATGTGCTTATATGGACCCCATGAAGAATATTTTATCACCTTTGTAAACTTTTTGTACATGCATTTTCTGTACGATTTTACCGTGTTCTGTGCTTCTGTCCAGTATCCAGTAGTTTTGTGTAAAAGGGGTAACAGAGGGACAGTGAAAATCGTTGAATGCGGTTCTCAAAACGCTCAAACTATTACATGCACATACTTTTGTTTGATCTTAAAAATAGTTATTTCATTTACCTGCATCGGACCCGCTTACAATGACCACCAGTAAAATGACAAAGAGACACATCTTCGTCTTTATGTTGTCCATTTTGCCCTGATAATCTGTGAAACAACGGAAGTCTACACATGTATTTTCTTTTACTGAACATTCAATGTCACCCTAATAAATTCCCTTAAACGCTATTTATCTAATCATGCCGGTAACCAGAGGGGGTGGGTTCGGAAGAATCCTCTCACAAGGCTGAAATGTCCACTTTTTATCCAAAGGTCCCAGATTTTTTTCTTTAGATGGACTGATTCGTATCACCAGCGGGGCTAGAATCGTATAAAATCTGCCTACTTTGCCATTGAATAAAAAGTTAAGTCTGATTTTTTTGTTTGAAGCCCTATCAAAAAATGCAGAAAATGCCATTTCTGAGGGTTCAATGTTCCTAGTACGGTGTTCGTTGGTCCCTCAGACAGTGGGAAGACCGACCCCCCCCCCCCATCCTGGCTACGGGCATGCTAATGTTACCACAAATCAAGGTTTCCGTATTAATAAGTTCATATTTCCAATGGCTTTAGACAAACCTTCGATTATGAAACACATCTGTACTTATATCTACATCGTTACTAAGAAGCGAGAAGAAGCCAAGAAGTCCATATAGTACATAGAATTAGCGCTAGCTTGTACATTGTATATATTCATTGCAAACTGTGACGTCTTTCCTGTGACCTGTACTGAACCCAGTGGGTATTTGCGTACAATAAAGGTCTTCATTCATTCATTAATTAATAGCACAATACTTAGAAAGAAGGCCTAGCAGGAATAAACTTACCTCTGCCAGTACCGTTGTTGCTCAGACTACCGTATGCGACGTGGCTTCTTTATGTTCTACCAAATCACGGATTTGCGCATATCCTGATCAATAGGCTATTTTAGACGTCAGCACGGAAAAGGCAAAATAGCAAAGTTTACATCAATAAAGTTCTCGTCACCCTCCCCCTCCCCACCTTTTCTAGTCGGAACAAGTAAAATCTGAGATTTTATACCTCCGGGCTTTTTATTGTATATTCTTATATGTTGTTTGTTATGTATAGTTGATGGTGTTAAATTTTATGTGTTAGACTTAGCGGTTAACACAGGTTGTGTTAACACAGGTCAACATTCTCATCTGTAGCTTATAACATGTACCCATGAACTTATGAAATTCTATTTAATCTGCCGCAAGGAACTCGTAATGGCAATTAAAAACCTTCCGCGGAAACATGTCTCCTTCCTCGGAGGTAATAACAAAAGGCTTCCATGCTTGTTGAACAGGTTCTCTTCAAGTCTAGTCCAAGAAAAAAATCGGTATTCCCACTCCAAACATGATGGTCTCTCTCCTGGCCGAAAAATAGCAGGAGGAGTGAGGACACATCTTCGTCTTCATGTTGTCCATTTTGCCCTGATAATCTGTGAAACAACGGAAGTCTACACATGTATTTTCTTTTACTGAACATTCAATGTCAATATAGCACCCTAATAAATTCCTTTAAACGCTACGTATCTAATGTTACCACAAATCAATGTTTTGTTGTTCTTTAAAAACATAGGAAAATAAAGAAATTGATACTAATAATTTACAGCCCAAGACTTAGACTAGGCATAATAGGAATAAACTTGCTTGTCATCTATAACTATAACACCGCCAACTTCTTCAAGAGACCTATTTTAACCATCTTTAGTCATACAAAAAGTGACTCAAAACTCGGGCATCGCTGACGGGTGTTGTGTAAATAGAATTCGGTTTGTAACCGCTGATTCGAATCCTAAAAGTCAATTCTTGACGTCTGGAATAACTACAACCATCCCCGTGCCTGCGCGATATTTCAATTCACCTTTTTCCACAAGGTCGGTTTTGGAACTATTCTTAATACGTAAAACATGCCAACAAATATGCCTTAAATAAAATGTGCCCTAAGACGTATAACAAAGCAGGAGTTTTATTTCAAATGCAATTTAAGGTAAATGATACATCAGCCCTCCCTGTTAGATTTGCAGCTTAGGCAGCAGACTAAGGTCGTGTCTATACGGAATCACCCAAACCGCGATTCGGGTAACTCACATTCCTCACATCTGGTCCACGTGCCACACACACCTGTGAAACCGTGTCCGAACATAATGCGCTTGAGCTACATTTATTGCTGTTTGATGATAACACGCAAGGCGGCGTGTTATTAATGTCAGAGGTCAACGACCTGCTTGCTGATGCCCCCCTCCCAGCGTATCTCGGCCGAATGCCGAGGTGGTCCCGCCAGAGGCGGTGAAGCTCGCCCTAGAACGGACACATTATTTGACCATTACTGCTCTTTAAGTTGCTGCCACGTAAAAGTTGGTATTGCATATAAATAAAGAAATATCACCCCGTAATCCATGACTAGGCGAAGTCACATTGAAATCACATTGCCTTCAGACGCAAATCGCGATGCGGGGAAACCGATTCGAAACCACCTCTAGAAGTGGCTTGGGCTCGAGGCGCTTTCAATGTGATTTCGGAGCGTTCACATGGAGCCACTTGAAACCGGCTTCGGGGTAAACCACATGTAAACCGCCTTGGGTGATTCCGTTTAGACACGGCCTAATTCTGTTTTTAAAAGAAATAACTCTCCCCATAACGCGCTGTCAACGTCAAGTTGACGTAAATTGGAATTTTCATCTCTATGGCAACAGTACTTGAAAATTTAATATCGCCTTGCCGAGCGACTTAGGCCACACCGACTTAACTTTATGGATGACATCCAGGCGCGCATCAATGCGGAGCCGGTTGTAACTCTGGAAGATGGCACCCAAGCCTTTTTTCACTATAACAACGTGAACTTTAAAGACGCTCCATTTTTCAAATCGCCCGATCCCATTCAAGGAATAAAATGTTTATAAAATTGTTACATGGGGTCATTGTACTGAATTACGTTAAGCTTCAGTGCCAGGAACACTATTAATAAGTACATAAATGTCAATCTTCAATGTTTGATCTTTTTAGAGTGATTTGTATATACTTCTATGTGGCCTTTTCAGCACTTTTCCGGGCGTTGCTGTCATACCGCGTCTTGTAGTGGTGATATTCGTTGAGAACATCGTGGTCAAAGGCGTTGTCCTCTTCCGGGCGGATGAGGAGAGAGAACAAGGCGTTCAGCACCTGTAACACGATAGATTTTAATATCAAGTAGTAAACGTGAAATGTTTTCGCTCTTCAACAACAAACAAGAATTCGGAGATCTCAAACCTCCATGAAATATATGAGTTTTTGTAAATGTTTTTACACTGTACACTACACTACAGTACAGAACAAAATAACATGTAAAGATTTTGTTGGCCTAAAATAGGTCAGGCTGTCAACTCAGTACATGTAGCCTAGAGGGACCTCATCAATTAAACCGTGTAGGCTCGCTGCCTGACCACACGTGGTTTGCATTAGAGGAAGTCTTTGACAGCTGGTGTTTTGTTGCATAACTGGCACATCTGTTTTCCCTCAAAATACAAACGTTTCTGCTTCAGTACCAAGGTCAGCCACCAGGAGGCCCATATTTGACTTTGACCTTTGGCTTCCTAAGACCTACCAGCATGCCAAATATCATCACAATCCATAAAGGCTTTCTGAAGTTATGCTGACTACAAATGTGCGGAAACACACACACATACATACAGAGAGAGAGAGAGAGAGAGAGAGACGTGCCAAAACAATACCTCCATTTTTCATGGAGGTAATAAGAAAAGGGAGGTCGATAAATGACCTGGGGAACAGTTATTGATATTGTCTACTATTACCCGAGGAGATGGGTTCACCTGGAAAGGGGTATGAAGACAAGCGCTGGATAGAAGAGAGTGGAAAGTTAACATAATTTGGTGAAGTTATGAGATCGTGGAAGTTCTAAAGCGTCGTGATGATTCTTTACCTGTTCAATGGTTCCTCCTGCCACCCACTCATCTTCAGCCAGGAAGCGGAGACACACCTGGCCGCTAGTCTGACTCACGTTCAGGTGGTAGATCGGCGTGATGAAGCGCACCTAGCGGAGCGAGAAATAATTGCACAGTCTACTTTACTTAGGAAGTTGCTATGAAAAGACGTTTTCCACAGTCCTGACAAAAATATGCAGTTTAGTTTAGTTTAGTTTAGTTTAGTTTAGTTTAGTTTAGTTTAGTTTAGTTTAGTTTAGTTTAGTTTAGTTTAGTTTAGTTTAGTTTAGTACAGGTTAGTACAGGTTAGTACAGGTTAGTCAAACTTTAGGTCGACTGCTTTTATTTGTGATTTAATATAGAGATAAAATTATCAATGTACTTACGATTGGAGGCCCAAGTGGGTAGTTTTCGCTACATGAACAATCAAGGAATGAAACGAAGCTTTTTGTTTGTTTGTTTGTTTATTACGATCCCCATTAGTGCTTAAAAGCACTATTCTTCCTGGGGTCAATAAAATAAAACATAGATAACAATACTTTGTACATAATGTTGATTACAAAATAATAAAGTAAGTTCAAATCAATAGAGTAAGTTCAAATCAATAGGAGAGGTCAGAGGTCGACCTAAAAAAAAAAAGCACAGAATAATCTGAATATAATCCAGAGTTGTACGTAATCAACAAAGGTGCCAACAAAATTAACAAGGTATAATAACTTAAATAACTGAAAAGAACATAATGTCTAACTGATCATAATTCCAAAGAAAAGATAAATATAAGAATATAAAATATAAGCTTTTAAATTTACCATATACAGTAAAGTCCATCCGAAGTCATGCATCACAGATGGCGGCGAAAAAATGAAACGGGCTCAACCATTAAGCTCTTTCTTGTGTCTTCCTTGTTGAATCAATCCTATCCCATAGCATTCAGATATCTGTGAGGCAAAAATGTGGTTGCTTCTTTCGTATGGTAGGATTGTTACCTCCGGGGGAGGAGACATCCTTCCGCGGAAGGGTTTTGTAAGAGATGTAGATTTTTATGTTCGCAGCTGTTTCTCGCGTTTGGGTGGACGGATTCTTTTGAGACTCGGTATATGTTTTGCTATTGGGCTGCAGATGATGGACGTTCTTTTGTTTTTATTGTATGCGTGTTTTCGGGCGTGAAAATGATGCCTTTTGGTGGCCCCAAAACACCCCTTTGAGCGTGAAAGTGGTTGCGACCGTTGACCTTTGGCGTGTTTAAGCTATTCTCGGTCTGGTCCACGTATATGACCCCTCACACAGAGGGGTGTCCAGTCTCGATAAATTCTTTGTTTAAAACCCTATATAGAAATATACAATAAAAACCCCGGAGGTATAAAATCTCAGATTTTACTTGTTTTAGCTATTTATGAGCGGCAACCTCCGTCCCCCACCCCCAATGAAGAGACGCCTCACATAGCTGCTTCTGTGGCTATTTCACACGATTTAATTATAAAATTATGACGTGTTAATATGGTATAAATGTCAATATCAGATAGATCTTATCTTCCAGAATATGATTTGTTCTGCCGCCCTAAAACTCCATTGGTTGCATTGTAATGATATATACCAATTTTAAGTGTGTTTATTGATAATATTTACATGTTACGTAATTAGAATTTCCCCATCTCGCTAACATTTCCAGTGCAGAGTTCGTGAATTTACAATAACGTATACATTGCCTTACCGTTTTCACACGAAAATGATATGTTAATAGTAATGGCACATTATATTGCGTAAAATTTTGTGGCTATCTATATGAGAATTACATCGCTATACTATACAATAATGTATTGGTACCACTCTATCACATTAAGAAATTGCCACATACATAACAAGACTGGCAATGAAAACATACATTGCCATGGCGACGGTGGTTGCTGTTAGGGTTATTGTTTGCATGGCACTGCCATCATTTCATGATTTTGAGGAAGACTTGGTACTTGGACTTTGGTTAAGTCTAGACAGATACAGTACACTCCTCCCCTGAGCGCATAGTGAACGAGCCCCGGGGTCACAGAAAGTAGGACCATCTGGGGCAGACAGGTCTTCAGGGTTCCAGGTATGTGGGCATAGATGTGGGTCAGAGAAATGCCTGTGGACATTCCGCATGCCTGTGGACATTCCGCATGCCTGTGGACAAAAATGCCTGTACAATTCCTAGAATTCTTATTATATCTATTTAGAAATAGTAGCAATGTCGCCTGTAGAGCAGAATTAGGTAGATGCTTGGTCCAAATGGGCACAACCTCACACTCCCTTCAAATGGATGCTCTCCTCTTACAGCAAAGCCTTCCAACAAATACCCGTAGACTAACTTTATTGCAACGTGTTAAAGACATACCGGTATTAGATCACAATGGATACTCCTCTTTGTGGCATTCCGAATCAACATTGTGACCCTGAACATGTTGGGGGAAATGCTGAGAAGGACTCTGACTTACAGATATACACGTCTTCTTCAGTTTACAAGAGAAAAGTCAAACCCTTTAGACATAGTTTTAGACATAGCTATAATTTTAGACAAATACCTTTCATTTGTAGATTTTAGTTATTTTATATACTGCTCTTCTTTTATGTTTGTAACTGGCAATTAGCCTCCGGGGCCGGGGCATGAACAGGAATGTAAATCAGCATGTGTCTGCTCAGTTGTGAATCTGTTCAATTTCCACAATGTCGCAAGGGTTTCCTGGAATTTCACTTCGTAGGAAAGTGGTCCAGAATGTAGGACATACACTTGAAAGGCATGTGGGGAATCCTGGAATGTGGACCAGAATGTCAGAATGTACAGCACAGGCCACGAAATACGCATCAGTTTTCGCGGGACGTTCTGCGAAATACCGCGGTACGTCCTGCGGTATATCGCGAAACGCCGTGCGGAATATCGCGAAACGCCGTGCGGAATATTGCGGAAGGCCGCTGCGAAACTTCTTCTGCGTAAGAAATCTTTCGCAAGATTTCGGTCGTTAATGAGCAGCCTTTGTATTCTGAGATTTACATGACACTTATTCCACCTCATTTTCACGTATTTGTTGATAATTTGTGGACAATACCTGGGATTATCAGCGCGGCGGGTCCACGCTGCCACGGCTGTGCTTGGGCGATTGATGTTTACTATTCATTTGATACGCTGAGTTTGTTCCGATCCGTGTGATTCCAATAAACATCTCACATAACTACGAACTAGTTGGAAGAATGATAGATGCATGAATGCCTGTGTATGATTTAACAAACAAAATCTGACGCTATTATAAAAACTGCTAGACGCTCTTCTCCGCTGGAACAACGCAAGCTGGAGGTCAATGACTTGCGGTCGAACACGTACTAGTAATGTGTATCGTCAACATTTTCTGCAAGGCATGACTTCGCCGAAGAAACCACTTTTTAAAATTTTAAGCTTTAAATGCTTCGACTCTGTGGCCAAAAATAACGAAGTTTGATATTGTCCCTGTTTGCAAGGACGCTATATGTTGTAGAAGCTCCTTGCTGTTTGTGATTATCGATGCAGAACTACGTGATACATTTTAGAGCGAGGCATTTTCCCATAGCCACACGCACATATTATACTTGATCGACAGGCGTTTCCCTTTGAAGAAGTTGCCGCCCCTGCCATCGGCGCCAACAGTCTAGCTGGGCTGCTCCAATGATTTCGCCCGTCTTCGTTACAAACACGATCTTCACCGACTATAACCGAGGCTCTGTGATTGGTGTCTATGTGACAAATTTATATTCGCCTATCTTCGTTACAGTTCCGATCTTTACCGACTATATGTATAATCTACTAACGTTATCTAGGTTCTCTATTCGAGTGTACGTGTATAGATTCAGGCGTTCGTTTGTTGTTGCTGACGGAAGACTCGTGGTAATATTCAGAGTCGAACTAACGTTTTTGCATATGAGAATTAATATTATTGTGCCAAGCGTGAAGCATAATTCAAGGGTTCTTTACGCCCCATGGCTTTGTTGACACGCATCAAAAATTGATACATTTCGTTCGCCACGCTGTTGGGCCGGGCGTTCCCACGCACGTCGCCATAGTAACCGCACGTAGCAGCAGCGGCGCTGGTAGACTCCCTGGCGCCGCAGACCACGTGGCGTTCCGGCGCGCCAATCACAGCGCGCATACGGGGACCCGCCCACCAGCCGGGCCGCAGAAGAGTTGAGACTCCGCCCAGAGACACCGCCTGAAGATTGTTAGACAGTAGCTTGTTCCGCCCTGCACGGCCGGCGCGGCTTTGTAATTTTCTTCTCCCGATTTCAACAACGTTTTTTACAAGTGACATCGAGGACGCTAGTTCCACGGAGTGTACCGAGTGAATTTCATTTTTCACAGAGTCAACTTTTATAGCCTGAGAACAAATTAATCTGCGTCAAATTTTGCATAAACACGTCAAGTTCGGGTTGTCCCGTACCGTGTTTATTTATTTTTCGGGTGCGTTGCCGTTTTTTTTTGGCAAAAAAATCGACTCCATTTTCATCGCACCCACTACATCGCACCCTCTACATCCTCGCGCAGGTTTATTCAAAACCACACAAACTACATACGAAACTGTTCCTTAGAATGTATATTTTAAACATCTAAATCCCAGAATGGTAACTTTGCGAATTGTACGAAATTTTACGGTTAAAAACTGATTGGTTTTTGCTCGGAAGCCAGCGGCGGCGTGGGGTGACGGACAAAGAGTAAAATTATGTATTTCTTTCAAAATGCTGTTTTGTTTTGTACGACCAAAAATAGACTATTCTAGTAAATAAATTCAGGACTGAAAGAATCTTTCGGGAATACATATATACTGTATTTGTATGTGGGTTTATTGTGTATTTGACACAATTTTGGCGTTCATTCCACCGGGAAGTGTTCCGCGATCAGCGTGGGTTTCAAAACAAGAAACACAAGATCAAGAAACAAAGCTCCCGCTAATTAGAACCCTGTAACAATTCAGACCACAGCGATAATGTTTTCGATAAATATATTTGTGTACATGCACGTTTCAGAGAGGTAGAAATCTTAACTCAATCTATTAAACCACATTCTAGCTCAGGAATTTACGATCTTCACTGTTGGGTAAAAAATATCGGCAGATCTCATGAACATTTTCACTCCGCGCTATAGAAAATGTAAACAAACCGGGTGTGATCTTTCTCCGCCCACGGCGCGGGTGGCCTGCATATGAAAAGGACGTATTTCTGCGGAAACGCGGCCTTACGGAGAGGTGTTCTGCGGAACTTTCGCAAAGTTCTGCGAAAGTGCTCTCAGGTGCACTGCGGGACGTCGTGCGGAATACCGCGGTACGCCCTGCGAAATACCGCAGAACGCCGTGCGTAAGATTGCGGAACGCCGTGCGTAAGATTGCGGAACGCCGTGCGTAAGATTGCGGAACGTCGTGCGGAATATTGCGGGACGTCCTGCGGAATATTGCGGGACGTCCTGCGGAATATCGCGGTACGTCCCGCAGAACTTGATGCGTATTTCGTGGCCTGTACTGTAGGACATACACTTGAAAGGCATGTGGGAAAGGAATGTGGCCATGGGTATGATTGTAGGTATGTGAGGAAAGCAAACTGATTGTGGGACTGGAAAGAGAGATCACTTTGGCTTGGTTTGAGGCAGTCATCACAGGGAGGTACAGATTCGCGGCCTGAGTTCAGAGTTTACAAGCCTGGTAACCAGTCTCAGCGGGTCAGTTTAGAGGTGTTTTCCGACCCCATCAGGGAAACACGGCGGTCTGTTTCACCACTACAAGGGCTAGTTTTCAGTTCTGTGTGGTTGTCCAAATGGGGACCTTCCACGTGCTTCTTACGGCCTGGCAATCCTTAGAAGGTAATACAACATCCAATGTATTCATGAATAAAAAGAGCCCTATAGGACACCTGTGTCGATCGTAAAAAGTAAAAATCTTCCTCTGTTGTTGGAACTGTGATAGATTTGTGTGATTTTAATTTTAGGTGAAACGTAAGTCTGTTATAAAGGACTATTAAATGTACAGGAAATAATCTGCCATTGAGAATGATTACCCGGGGAATAATTGTCCTATAACAAAATTGATCTAGTCGAAGGATTTGGTTATGCTTACCTAACAATTCAATTCAATTTCAATTCAATTCAACGTTAACAACCTATCAAGTTGAACGTCAATATCTGATGTCCACAAGAAATATTATATTAAACTACATATGAGACCTCACCTATCGAAAATGTACACAACCAATTCTGTAAAAATGTTCTTGGTGTATTTAGAAATAGTAAGCAATGTCGCCTGTAGAGCAGAATCAGGTAGACTAGATACAGATATTTGTATATAGATATACTAGTAGTTAAATTCTGGTTATGCTTGGTCCAAATGGACACAACCTCACACTCCCTTCAAACGGATGCTCTCTCTTACAGCAAAGCCTACAAATACCCGTAGACAAACTATATTGCAACGTGTTCAAGACATACCGGTATTAGATCATAATGGATACTCCTCTTTGTGGCATTCTGATAACTCACATTGTGACCCTGAACATGTTGGGGAAATGCTGAGAAGGAGACTTACAGATATAACGTTACACGTGTCTTCTACAGTTATAAAAGAGAAGTCAAACCCTTCAGACATAGTTTTAGACTTAGACGTAGCTATAATTTTAGACAACTATCTTTCATTATGTGGATTTTAGTTATTTTATATACTGTTCTTCAATGTTATTTTATGTTTGTAACTGGCAATTAACCTCCGGGCATGAATTTGCAATAAACTTCTCAATTATTATAGAGAGAAAGATATAGTACCTGTTCAAATGCAGCAGAGTTGAAGACTGCCGATGATACGTAGGGGGAGATGTTCTACACTAATTCAGAAAACTCACTTACTGCTTACTTCATTAACATCATGGGAGCTATAGCTATATGAGCTAGATAATGTTGCATGGGAGTGGACAGGGATGTAAATCAGCATGTGTCTGCTCAGTTGTGAATCTGTACAATTTCCACAATGTCCCAAGGGTTTCCTGGAATTTCACTACATAGGGATGTGGGCATAGATGTGTGTCAGCAAAATCCCAGACATGCCTGTAGACATTCCATTCCTGTGGAAAAAAATGCCTGTGCAATTCCTAGAATTCTTGCAAACTGCACACAATACTGTACCATTAGGCTCCCCCCTGAGGCGTCGCCAAAAAGGATACGGAAGAAGTATCTGGATCTTGAACTTCCCTCCTGTTAGTGAATAAGAAGACATTGTGGTTAATGATTAAGGAATGTGATGTACTGTTGTCATAAAATATAAAGGTATTCACAGTTATAAGAACAATATAGAGATGATCAATAAAAAGGTTAGCGCCAAATAACCGGGACAATGGTATTGTATTTATTTTTATTTTCAAGGTATACAACTGTGTCATTAAATTGCCTGGAACTACTGTTACACTGATTTGCTGGTTAACACCTATAATGGCTATTGTAAATGCGACCATGTTACAATAAACTATAAGTAGAGCTCGAAACACCACCCTGCATATTGGTGCTGTGTATGTATTTCTGATGCACATGCATATGCTACCTGCACCCAACCTCCACTTGTCCATGACAAAACCAGACCCGGACACTGAGGGGACGACAAGTTGGACCATCGGTGGTCAAATGTTGTGCCTTGTATTATTTACAGCCACACCCCAAGCACGTTAAAGAACCCACCACACTTTACGAAAAAGAGTAGGGGTGTGCGATGGTACAAACACTACAGCCACATGGTGATTACATCACCACACATGTGATTACAAGTCAAGTCAAAGTTTATTGCACAACGATTGTCACGGGTACAATGTATGACAAATTATAAGATTACTAGTTGGTGTGTGTCTATTATAATGCTATATATATGGTCAACGGTTACATCTGACAGAGTATTATAAAGAACTACTGGCTAGAAAATATTTCGACTCTACATGTACTTTCTACATTACGCTAAACTATACACATGAAGGTTACAGTGAGCAGTTGTACCTAATTATACAAAATATGTTCTATGGCTACATCACCACCCGGACGGAGGCCTGGCGAACACCGTCTTGTACTAAGCTGACAAAAGGGTATGTCACCTCGTAAGGGGCGGTATTGCCCCGACCAATTAATACGGTCGACCGATGATCATGATGATGGTTATTATTTACAGTAGCACCAATGAATTAAAAGAAAACAAAATGCCAGGAACCTTTTTTTAAGAAATTACATTTTTGTGAACTGTTGTGCATTTGTGCAGAAAAATATATTTCGAGCCCTGCTTTAGGGGATACAATGTAGATGAAGTAATAATGCTGATTCAGTGCTGTAAAAAGAGCAGTACCTTTATACAGGGAGTCCTGTGGCGCCGGGATGACAGCCTCCTACACGTGCAGGTTCCCTTCGATAGCCGAAAGCAGTTCGCCAGCCCAAAGGGCTGGCCAACTCCCCTGGGGCTCAACTCCCCGTAGCGGTAATTCAGATAGGCAGGCGTACTGCTTTTGGCTATCAAAGAGAACCAGCTAACAGCCCATGCCTAGTTTGGCTCTTGGGATACGCATCACCTTGTCTGGACAAAATCAACTGAACTGTTACACAACACGTCTTCTCGGAAAGAAATTCTGCACTCTTCTTTGCATAACCTGGTCTGGACAACAACAACTTAACTGTTACACAAGATGTCTTTCAGGGAAGAAACTCTGCTCTCTTCTCTGCATTACCTGGTCTAGACAACAACTTAACTCTTACACAAGACATCTTCTTGGGAAGAACAGTGCACCTATTCCCAAAAATGAATTTCTAGCCCTGTTAGAGCATTATGACGAACCAGTGAGTAAACAAGTCTATCAATACCAGGACTTTCTTCTTTAAATTGCATATCATTTGGAGTGACTCTACATCTGTTGAAACTACCAACATCTGGTCAGAATGTTACAGTTTTACTCTGACACAACCAGGAGGAATTCACCTGTCAATGTTTTTGAATCATGTAACATGGTTCATGCACACAATAAAGAGTAAATATGCAGCACACAAGCAGAAATAACTATCATATTAGACAAGCCAGAAATAACTAAGAATTAAATTAGACAAATTAGAAATAACTATTGTATTAGACAAGCCAGAAATAACTCTTATATTAGACAAGCCAGAAATAACTCTTATATTAGGCAAGTCAGAAATAACTCTTACATTATATATATTAGCTCCCATTAAAATTTCCACCCAATATCCAACGAATTACAAGGAACAGATTCAAACATTCCAACAGGTGGGGCAAACAGAGAAATATGGCGACATACAAAGAAATCCTTTTTCTTGCACAAATATCAAGTAATATTTAATGTTTTAACGAAATACGTCAAGTACGTGTAACATAGTTCACACACACACACACACACGCACACACACACACAATGAACAAATTACAAGACAGAAATGAAGTCATATTAGCCCGCCCTCAACTCGAAATTTCCGCCCAGTATTCGACGAATTACACGGTGAAATTACTTAATCTAATGAACTGCCATAGCTTACCACGCTCTAACTAGTCGTTGGGAAACTATTTTGACCAAAAAAAGTCGTTGTTTTACCTTGTATGAACGAGTCTCCACATTCAGTTTCGCCATTTTCTTGTCTCTCCAAAATACAAGGACGAGTTTTCCAACACCACGCCAACCGTTCGTCAATTTCGCCTACAGCTTCTCTCGACCCTGGAGTTGCACAGAAATAAACGACAATTTCTATTTCCAAAGCTATGAAAAACGCCCCTGAAATCCGCAATGCTAAACCCACAGCTTACTGTTCAACACTAAGCTGAAGCACTGCGGACCACGCCGCATTTTGGCGGGAAAACTGAGCGATTTAATTAAGACCACGTGCGGAACATTCCAACAGGTGGGGCAAACACCACGTGGCGACAAACAAAGAAATCCTTTTTCTTGCACAAATATCAACTAATTTTTCATGTTTTTAACGAAACACGCCAAATACATGTTCATTACACACACAATGAAGAGTAAATATTCAAATATTCAAGAGGACAAGGCAGAAATATCTCTTAGTATAGGATTAGTGCGCTCTCAACTCGAAATCCCCCCCCCCCAGTATTCGACGAATTACACGGTGAAATTACTAATAAACTTTACAGGCCATAGCTTGCCATGCTCTTAGTAGTCGTTGGAAAGTTATTCCGAAGAAAAAGTCGTTGTTTTACCTTGAGCGAGCGAGTCTCCGTGCGGCCAACTTCCAGTCTCGCCATTTTGTTCTCCGTCCAAAATTCATCTGGTCAGGAAACCCGCATTTTCTCCTCAGAACATCCAGAAAACGGCACGAATTCACCGCAGAAACTTCTGAAGAAATAACGTAAAATTCTCCAGAAAAGTTGCAAAAAAAGTATCGGAAACCCCCACGCACGTGACGCACGACGTGACAGCAACAGACTGAACTGAACTGATGAACTGGAGCGTACCAACTTTGGCTTTCAAACAGGGGTGCAAAACGGCCTAGTTTTTCGTTGTTTGTTTGTTTTCTCCCAGTCACGCCGGACCGTCTCCATCTTATCAGGGGAAGAAACCCCCCATCAAAAATGACGACGCTCGCCCCACGTGTTTCGGACTTGGTGCCTGTGTGAAGCCCAGCGATTACATGCATAGCGCCTCACACAGCAAGCTCTGGTGTTCAATGGTTACAATCCTCCCGCCCTACCGGTGGGCAATTTCTGTGGGGTTTGCGTACGCGCTGGTTTACAAAGTTATATCGTGAAACAAATCTAAATTATATCCCGACCTTCCCGTGTTCACAGCGTTTGTGGTTTTGTGAACACTCCACATTTTCCGTCTCATAAACTAGGAAGAAAAGCTTCCATAAGCTGGTCACTTTTGGTGCATAGTTAGACAATGTCTGCAAACTTTTTCCTTTGGTCCTATCTCGATAAGATCGACATTTCACAATTTTCACCCCCATTTTCTTTGAAAGCACAATAAAGGACCCCAAGACATGCATTGTGGGAATATGGCCGGCTCATTAATAACAAGCACTGTAATGTTAATTAGTTAGTTGAGTCCCGGGTTCGAACCCTGCCATGCCACCGAACTTGTGCCCCTGGGAAACGCACTTTACACGACTTTCCTCACTTCACTCAGGTGTCCAGTGAAATTAAGCGAACGTTAGGGATTGGACGTTGGCACACTTTAGCGCTTTTGTCTTACATGTTTGTATTTATTTATTTATTCATTCATACATACATGTATATCTATTGTTTAGTGGCGCTGGCAAAATAAGTTGCTCAACTTGAGTGCAGCGCCACTTTGTCTTGTAAATCAAATATCTGAAAAAAAGCCCTATCCTTTCGCAAGGACCTGAACCTTCGTTTTTCTGAGATCTACCCAGATACCACATATCATCAGACGTCTTCTTAAGGGTCCTTAAGTTATGCCTGGTCTACGGGATACTGGCAACCGCGACAGTTGTTTAGATTTATTGTCACGGTGGTATGTAGCTTTGGAAAGCACATAATTAACTTGTTAGCAACATAGAACCTGTGCTGTTGCAGGGTGAATAGATGTCTTTGTGTGTTGGCGTTGGCTTTGGCTTTGAGCCATACCAAACACACCTGGTCTAGTCGCGTCGGCCATTTTCATTTTCGACAGAGTGGTGTTGAGATCGGTCGCCAGTACCTGTACAAGCGAAGCCCAGGTAAGTTGGCTTAAACAAAAGGTTTCAGAAAGTGTAATATCTGCTTGCAGTCTTACTGGCATTAGATTATACATTCACACTTTTGTCTTCTGGCCTTTTTTGCTCAGTTTTCTGGTGAAAGTCAACCGTGTTACCTGACTAGCGAGCCACACCCTAAAACGGAGCGGACCAGAAGTATGTACATGCCCTTTTTATCATTTTTTTAATTTCATTGAAGCCCTAGGGCCACTTTGGGCACTAGGGCAATCACAGAGGGGCAAGTCCACTGGAAGTAATGTGTGTTTTCAATTTCCATACTCCCAAATGCTGAGTGCTTAGGAGAGAAAGCAGAATGTACGTACCACTTCTAAACCTAGTACAAACAATGTCACGGGAAAAACACAATCTATTTCCCCTGACTGGGGGCCTTGGAGGTCACAGAAGATTTTGGGCAAGGTGGCTGGAAGGTAGTACACCTGTAATTGCATCGATTTAACGGTATAGAGATTTTTCTACGTTCGGCGTTTTACAAGGAATAGTCAGAGGGATAACGTAGCATTGAGCAGACTTTTGCCAGTGTTGTGATATCATACATTGTGTAGCCACCCCTCCAAAAAGCCTGAAACCAAGTTTATTTCAAGTGCATAGAGGTGCTCAGACGGAAATACCCTATTTCGAATGGGTTTCTTTTGGTTATTTCCACCTGATAAAGAAATCGCACGGAGCTTAACAGCAAAATGACACCCGATCCGGCTTGGCATTCCCGCATTACAAGAAGAGAAGTGGTTTATTGTGGCGCGACGGTGGCTGTAAATGTTATTAGATAATATTTAACTTTGTCAGGTGAACCATCGTGCCCTTGCCTTTGTTTTCACCCCAGCCTTACAAACATAATTTATATGTAACCACAGTGACAGACAGTTTATTTTCGCAGGTGCGTTGTTAGACCGACCATACAGCGACACGTACGTACAAGCGTAGCACAGGTTTGTAGGCTTTATATCTATCAGCTTTTAGTTCAATGCTTGTACATTTACTTTCGTTATGATCTTGAATCCTCTGAAAGGTGACCGTGTTTCAGAGAGTTTTGTGATCCTTTGGTCTAAACAAGTTTGTTTCCTTTTTTCTGTATAGTTACATGACGAAAGACGCCCAACTTGGACCACAGATCACAGGCTTTAGACCTGCCAAACGACCAATACAGGTGTGTTACAGGCAAGGTAGGAACATAATTTGTCAGGAGGCTTCCTCTTTATACCTTTCACAGGACTGATTTATCGCTTTCCTACCAAAATGTGACCCAAAGCCATGTGATTCGGGTGCCATTTCCTGGTATAGCTAGCCAAACCAACAGAAATAGTGGGTAAGAAATAGCAAGGATGATACTTTTCGTTGGCATATGATCATGACTCATTATAATATAACTAGCCCCAACAGATCTTATTCCTAACAGAACGCACTCAGTTTGACTTTTCAAAGAGCTCTTCGTACTTATCTAAGGTCTCTAACGGGGCCTGTTGAGTTGTATGGTAACACGGCCGTGTTGCTGTGACGCATTTCGAAAAGGAAATCAAAATGGCGGCCGAGATTTAAGAGGTAAGTGAGGAGAGTCATAGATTTTAAGTATCTACTGAACAATCCCATAACTTCATATCGCCGCGCATGACTTGGATATAAAAACAAGGTCTGACCTCAGCGGCTTTTAATATTTCGCACGTGCGACTCAGAAAAAAAAGAACGAATTGTCTAATTACATACAAAATTAAGGTCCGGTACTAGGTGTGATACTTGGAGGCACTTGCTATTACGACCTTTATTGTCTTGTATTGCTGGATGCACACTTAGTTTGAAATATTGCACAAAGAACAGGCATCATCAAAAATACTACTTAGTTATAATCCTTCATGGTATTCTATTCGTGCATGGATCTAGTATTCCAGGTGGCAAGGTGGTCTTGAGGTTAACTCTCGAATGGTACGTGAAGCTGGAGGTCCCGTGTTTGAGGAGAGACACACCTTCAGGAAATCAAAGAACCAATCACACTTATCAAAAGAGTAGGGTCCATCCTAGCCTGAGTAGTTCAAACCTCACGATCAGTCTGATCCTAAGCAGCTTAGACCTACAGTACAAAACTTTTGCGTTGCACATGAGGGCGGTTTAGTGGTTAGGCGAAACAAAAAAGCAAAAAGACATGCGTTCATGACCCAAAGTGTAAAACAATTACATGTAGTTACTGAAAGATATAGCTTTTCGTTAGTTGTATCAAACCTATTAAAGTTGGAGTTGTGAAAATATAGGTATTTGAACCTTCGCCCCGTCTGGCATTGGCTTCAAAACAAAATGCTGACATGATAATCAAAATACTTCTTTCTTTTTTTTGACACAGTTATTTGTTTAACCCTGAGGTCATGGAGCTGACCGGACCGGTAGATTGTCATTCTCATTTTTCCAGGAAGGTACGTAAAACAAGAAAACTGTTATCGTAATTGTTGAACCATTTTAGATACTGATACATAAGCTTTCCAATGGCATATAATACAATGCAATTGAAAGAATGGTAATGGTGAAACACCTGTATGATCCACCAAAATGGACTTTCCGAACAACTATTTCAACATTCTAGTCTTTCACCATGCCCAATGTCTGATTGTTGATTATGCGTAAATTTGAATATCAATCTTATATTTTTGTCCTGAAATTTAACACTAAATGTATCACTAAATTTCCTGTCAATGTCTTTAGAAGACGCGTACGACGCCGTCATTCAAGAAAACTAAGGTCCGTGGCGTAGCAGATGTACACAAGGGAGACCAGATTGCGGTTGATAGAGTTGGAGGAGCCTACAAGCATCACATGATTGTGATTGAAGACCCCATAGATCTTAGAGAGGTAACTGTGATTCAGTATACAAATGGTGTTTTACCTGGTGCAACGGGGATACTTGCAGGCAGTGGTAGGTCAGGAATTCCTATTGCTGTCGTCCGTAGAGACGCGGAGGATATTTCCTCGGACGTGAGCAAGGGTAGAGTATACCGCATAGATTATGACAATGAGTGCTTCTCACCCGATGAAACCGTGAGGAGAGCTAAGAGCAAACTTGGTCAAGGGGGATACTGCGTGTTAAACAACAACTGTGAGCATCTTGCCACCTGGTGTAAAACAGGTAGGTCTAGAAGCTCGCAGGCCGAAACAGCAAAGACTGCATTAACCGAAAGCGCTAAATCTATAGCTACAGAAGGGATAAAACAGGTGGCAAAGAAGGGATTTAAAGCTGTCACCGAAGAAGCAGCAAAGCAGGCTTCAAAGGAGGGGGCTAAAGCTGTCACCAAAGAAGCAGCAAAACAGGTAGCAAAGGAGGGGGCTAAAGTTGTTACCAAAGAAGCAGCAAAGCAGGTAGCAAAGAAGGGGGCTAAAGCTGTCACCAAAGAAGCAGCAAAACAGGTAGCAAAGAAGGGAACTAAAGCCGTCACCAAAGAAGCAGCAAAACAGGTAGCAAAGGAGGGAGCTAAAGCTGTCACTAAAGAAGCAGCAAAACCGGTAGCAAAAAAGGGAGCTAAAGCCGTCACCAAAGAAGCAGCAAAACAGGTAGCGAAGGAGGGGGCTAAAGCTGTCACCAAAGAAGCAGCAAAACAGGTAGCGAAGGCGGGAACCAAAGCCGTTACCAAAGAAGCAGCAAAACAGGTAGCAAAGGGGGGGGCTAAAATTGGCATTAAAGAAGCAGCAATGGCAGCAATGACAGAATTGGTTGAGTCTCTTGCTACGGAAGCAGCAAAACAGGTAGCAAAGGAGGGGGCTAAAGCCGTCACCAAAGAAGCAGCAAAACAAGTAGCAAAGGAGGGGTCTAAAGCTGTCACTAAAGAAGCAGCCAAACAGGTAGCAAAGGAGGGAACTAAAGCCGTCACCAAAGAAGCAGCAAAACAGGTAGCGAAGGAGGGAACTAAAGCTGTCACGAAAGAAGCAGCAAAACAGGTAGCAAAGGAGGGGGCTAAAGCTGTCACCAAAGAAGCAGCAAAACAGGTAGCGAAGGAGGGGGCTAAAGCCGTCACCAAAGAAGCAGCAAAACAGGTAGCAAAGGAGGGAGCTAAAGCTGTCACCAAAGAAGCAGCAAAACAGGTAGCAAAGGAGGGGGCTAAAGCTGTCACTAAAGAAGCATCAAAACAGGTAGCGAAGGAGGGGGCTAAAATTGGCATGAAAGAAGTGGCACTGGCAGCAATGACGGAATTTGTTGAGTCTCTTGCTACGGAAGCAGCAAAACAGGTAGCAAAGGAGGGGGCTAAAGCCGTCACCAAAGAAGCAGCAAAACAGGTAGCAAAGGAGGGGGCTAAAGCTGTCACCAAGGAAGCAGCAAAACAGGTAGCAAAGGAGGGGGCTAAAGCCGTTACCAAAGAAGCAACAAAACAGGCAGCAAAGGAGGGGGCTAAAGCTGTCACCAAAGAAGCAGCAAAACAGGTAGCAAAGGAGGGAGCTAAAGCCGTCACTAAAGAAGCAGTAAAACAGGTAGCAAAGGAGGGGGCTAAAATTGTTACCAAAGAAGCAGCAAAACAGGTAGCAAAGGAGGGGGCTAAAGCCGTCACCAAAGAAGCAGCAAAACAGGTAGCAAAGGAGGGGGCTAAAGCCGTCACCAAAGAAGCAGCACAGGCAGCGATGGCTGGAGGGGTCAAGTCTCTTGGTACAGAAGGGGCAAAACAGGCAGCCAAGCATGGAGCCAAAGCTGGCATGATAGAAGGTGCCAAATCTGTAGGGAGGGAAGGAGCAAAGGAGGTAGCAAGGGAGGGGGCTAAAGCTGCTGTGGAAGAAGTTGTAGAAGAAGCTGCTAAAACTGCCATGAAGGACACAGCAAAGACAGCAGTGAAAGAAGGTACCAAATCTGCTGCTAAGTCAGGAGTGAAATCTTTCGGTACGAAAATAATGGAAAAGCAGGGGAAAATCGGCATTGCGCTAACAGTGGCAGAGGAAAGCTATTACTTTGTGAGAGGCACTTGGGAATCAATGGAGAAGTGTGATAAAGGCAAGATTTCCCCGGGTGAGTTTGTTGGAGAGGTAGCTACCCATGCTGTTAAGGGTGTCGCTAGCGGTACCGCCACAGTTGCTGGAGGTACAGCGGGACAAACAGTAGGAAGTGCCGTGGGACTATTTGTAGGCGCACCTTTGGGACCCTTGGCGCCGGCCGTGGGAGTGGTAGGGGGTTTTATCGGTGGTGTGGTTGGAGGGATGGGTGCAAAGGCACTTGTAGGGTTAGCTGGACAGGCACTTGCAGATTTGATCAAGTAAATATATTAAGCTTTCACTATACTAACGTTGATTATGTTGATACCGTTTTATCTATGCACAAACATTTGCTAGGGAAGGCTATGCTACATAATTTTGATTTTCCATCATTTGAGCGTTGAGTATAGAAAGAATAATCTTACTAGCCACAAGATAAGCTAAGATTAAACACTAAACGTATCTTATATATTTACTATTGTTTTTGTGCACCATAATACTTTTGTGTTGGGTTTATGTTTCATCACAACCAGTCAATCTAGGACAAGGCTTAGATTACTTTCACACTATTATTTTTCTAGATGGCTGAGTGCATTGTATATATATATAATATAATGTAATATAATATATATATATATATATATATATATATATATATATATATATATATATATATATATATATATACAAATGAATTATGTTTTAATTTTGAACATTATAATCAGTATGTAATTCAGAACTGCAATATTTGCTATTTGAGATGGGTGTAGTGTTAGTTTGGAACTTTAATTACTTTTCTAGATGGCTGCATTGTACATGTATTGTGATTTGGTTTTGACAATTATAAGCTGTATATAATTTAGGACTGCACTGTTTTCTGAGGACTCCCTTGTCAAGGTTTTGTTTTTAATAGCACATGTACAAATGTAGCAGCTCATAGTAACGAAATGTGCCTAAGAATTTTTGAAACTGGCAGTTCAGTATCTATAACAATGTTACAGGCACGCATATGTTAGAAATTGGAGTCTATATTTCACGTCACTGCTGGATTCAAAAACAGTGCTAAAGACCTAGGAAATGATCAAATATAGCTGACTTTATACACACGTTAGGAACTGACTATTCAGTAATCATATAACAGGTATATTTACACACATTTGTATACATAATATATAGATATGTGAATATGTCATGGGCATATATATGACAGATATGTACTTTGTTAGCACTTAGAAGCATGGCAAAGCAGTTTAAAGTTTGCCATTATACAAGTACTATATAATATAGCCAATAGTTTCCATGGACAATCATAATAAAAATAAACGATTCCTGTTACAACAAATTGTGTTAAAACTAGCCACGGTCTTACCGAAACGTTCGTAACTAACTGTGGGGTTCGACAAGGCTGTAATCTGAGCCCAACACTGTTCAATTTATTCATAAGCGATTTGACGGAGGAGTTTGATGACCATTTGTGTGATCCTCCTAGCTTACATAACATGAAGGTGTCATGCTTGTTATATGCAGACGATCTAGTTCTTTTCTCTGAATCCCAACAAGGTCTGCAAACCTCTTTAAGTAGATTAGAAGAGTATTGTAAATTGTGACAATTGAATGTGAATCTCAAGAAAACTAAGGTTATTGTATTTACTAAAGGAGGTCGATTACCGAAAAACTGTCACTTCCTGTTCAATAATAATATGGTCGAAATTGTAAATAACTATTGTTATCTAGGCATTGATGTAAGTTCAGCTGGCACTTTCAAGGCAAACAACAAATACTTACACAGCAAAGGCATGAGGGCCCTCTTTGGAATTAATCAATCACTTTATCAAGACGACGCTTCAATTTATGTCAAGAACAAACTCTTTGATGCTTGCGTAAAACCGATTTTATTGTATGGGTCTGAAATATGGGGATCTTTCAAAAGTCCAAAATCATCCCCAATTGATGCCGTGCACCTGAAATTCTGCAAACAGACTTTAAATGTGCCCAGATCTTCTTGTAACCTTGCTGTGATGGCTGAATTAGGGAGATATCCCATGAGGTTAGAAGCGTCACTAAACGCCATTAAACACTACCTCAGAATACGCCAGAACGTGCCAGCTGACAGTCTCTCCGCAGACGCCCTTTTGTGCCAATTTGATTTAGATGCGGTAGGTACAAAATGTTAGGCTGCTGATGTGCGTAAGGCACTAGAGGAATGCGGTTTTGCTTATGTTTGACATTCTTCCTTGTCTTCTACCTTCAATTTGCCCCAAATTATATCTGCCATCAACCAACGTCTTAAGGACATGTATCTCCAGTCTTTTATATCAGAAATGCGGAACAACAACAAATTACGGACATACAGATTATTAAAAGATACTTACCACGAGGAAAAATATCTGAAAATTACAAACATTCGACACAGAAGGCACAGAACAGCCATCACAAAACTCCGGAAAAATTCACACAAACTCCACATAGAAAACGGCAGACACAACCGCATTCCTCTAGATCAAAGGATCTGCCAATTGTGCGATTTAGATAAGATAGAGGATGAGTATCATTTCGTAGTCGATTGTGCGTTATATAGTAATGAGAGAGATTCCCTATATTCTTATATAATAGATACGTTCCCTAGCTTTGGACATTTAAATGAAGCAGATAAATTCATATTTCGTATGAAACTTGACAAACCATGTATCACTAGTTCTATATGCTCCTACATCTATAACTGCGTCAAGAAGCGAGAAGAAGTCGAACAATGTAAATAGTAGATCACATTAGTATGTATAGTTTAAGTATCATTGCTGTATTCTTTCCCTTGTCTATTCATGACCTGTACTTAGCTTGTTAAAGCACAAACGTACAATAAAGGTCTTTCATTCATTCATTCATTCAACAACAAATATGTGCATCTCGTGAGACCTATGGTCTCCGTTTACAATCAAAATTATGTCACTGATATGATGAATAAGACCACACCAATTTACTTTCTTGGTTCTCAGATATTTTAAGGTGAAAATTTAGCAAGCAGACATCATAAAATCAGAATGCACGGAGGAAAACTGTCTGATTATGTTTGTAAACCACTTCATAAAACGAAGTGCACTAAGGCATCAAGTGAACATGGTCCTCACACATTTATGTTTACCGAAGGAAAACATAATGTTTTTGCTCAGTTTCCTCTTCTCCAAACACATAAGGTCAATGACCTGGACCAGACGTCTCTCGCCATAGTAACTGGTGTTGGGTTACGTCATATTGCAATTTACTAGCAGGAGGGATTTGTCGGATGTACTTTGTAGAACCTGTGACATGTGCTTTCAGAGGACACTGTGGCCTTCCACCTCTCATTTTCTTTGGCTCTTATTGTTGTCTTCACCAGTTGCTTCCATTCACTTGCTGAAGGGAAATTCGTCGTCAGCCAGTATTCTTCTAACCATCCTTCCAAGCCATATTCTCTTGCTACTTCAAAGCACTCACTGACTAGACCTCTTGCCTTCCTATTTGTTCTTCCTAAGACGTAGGAGTATAGCCTGAACAAGAAGACCTTCTTCGCCAGGATTGTGTTGCGCATAGAGACAAGTCTCCCAAATAGGCATAGTTTGAACCTGTCCAGAACTGATTTCAGGCTCTCCATTCCCAGGGCACCAAGGCTCGCCGTTGTCTCTGTCTGGAAGTGCATGCCTTGCATGCGCTTAACTCCACTTCTATGTACTCTCTCTAGTTTCAAGAGATCACTGTTTGACGGGCTCCAAAACTCACTTCCGTGTAACATGCTTGGTATCACTAGTGTGTTGTATAGGGTTTTGGAGATTAAGGGGTTAGGTTGCTGTCCTTCACTGCCTGTTGCCAGAATTGCACTAATCCTTCCCCTTCCCTTTCTGCAGGCTTGCTCAATGGTTTCCGTTGATGAAAGTTTGGCTGAATGTTGTACTCCGACATGAGTCACCACACTTGTTTCTGGTATTGATCTTGTGCCCATTCTCCAGCAGTAGGATGCATTGGGCGTCTGCTGTATGCTACTTGTTGATCCAAATACAACACATTTACTCTTGTCAGGGGCAAACTCAAAGCGCCATTTTCTTCCATACTGGGTCATGGTGTCGATCATTCTCTGCAGGCCCATCCTTGTGCTAGCTAGGAGACAGATATCGTCCGCTAATGCTGGGGAAGCGCAGCACATGCCTCCCATGCACACTCCACCTGGCTGGGCTTGTAGTTCTTCATGCACGTCGTCAGTAGCTAGTAAGTAGCAAGTCAGAGATAAAATCCCTCCTTGATTCACTCCTCTCGTTGTGTTGAACTCTCTTGATAGACCACCGTTTAAGAGGACTGCGTACGTACAGCCTGTGTGCATGTGTTTGAGAAGTCTCCATAGCTTGCCATTTATCCCTCTCCCGTACATTTTAAAATAGGTCAGGAGTCTAATTTTACAAATAGGTCAGGAGTCTAATACCAACAGTTTTTAGATAAAATGGTCCGCAATTCAGTCTGTGGCTGCAATGTACTTTTGACTCGATCAAACTGATCAAATAAACCATTCATTCATTCATTCATTCATTCATTCATTCTTTAATTCATTTTAAGCTTTGAAAAAACGCCAAAATGACCAATTGCTAAGCAGTATAAATAAATAAAAATGAAAAAATGAAATGAATTAGATTCATTCACTTATTCATTAGCCAGGAGAAAAGAGTTCGGAAAGCAGCGTCAATGGAGGCAACAGGACTACGATGACGCACCACCGCTTCAGCATCCCGGATGGAGACGTCATCCCTGTCCTGTACATGACCTGGTGGGATATAGACGCCACCTTTCACGTGTACTCTTTGTACGGGTCCAAACCTACCGTAGAAAAGTATGCCGAGAAGACAGTCATCCAGGCTAAAGGCGGGTTAGAGGCCTGGCTCGCAGAGAAGGACTTCACTGTCACATTCACACCCAACACCACACGCCGTGGTGGTGTTCTCTACATTGGTGTACTGAAAATAGGTAAATTACAATGATTTCTATGTTGTTATGTGCCATATCTTTTATCTTTATGTTTAACTTATTTTGGTTTGGTTTTCCTTTAATGCCCAAAATCATGATAATGATCATTCTGACATACTCATTTTCACTTGAGAGAAGTGAGGAAAGTGCCAAGTGGTGTAAAGTGCCTTTCCCAAAGGCACAATGTCGGTTACTTGGAAGGATTCGAACCGGGACCTCTTGGTTCTGAACCGAATGCCACTCGTTTTGCCACATGGCCCCACAATTTTGCAGACAACGTTTGTTCATTGTGCTGTTCTCAGATCGTGCCGGTTCTTCACCTCAAAAACCGAACCGGGAGAGAACCCCCAACTACAGGCTGCAGATGTCAGCTGTCGGCTGTTCGTCTTGGGACGAAAATAACGAACGATGGGGGCTGGAACAATGCGATGTGAGTCACGTCTAACTTAACTCACTTTACCACAGACGTTAGGTCCTCCTGTGCCTATAAGCACACTGGGCAGCAAGTTTACATCTGTGTCGAGTGGCTGCTACCTCCTCGGCTTCTTCCCAGGTGATGTTAGCCATCTTGAGGTCCTCCTGAAAGGTTCTTCGCCCTCTTCCTTCTGCCCCCTGGTGGCACCCAGGTCATGGCAGTCTTTGAGTGGCGCTGGCTTGATAGGCGTAGGATGTGGTCTGCCAGTTACATCCTCCTGCCTGTTATAATGTCCCCCACAATGTACAAATTATAAGAATTTTATATTTAGACTAAAAAGACAATATCTATGTTCCCATGTTTTTTTATAACAAATACATGTTTGTCATAGCAAATCTAAATGTAGTTCTACGTTGAAAGGAAGGAAACCCTCCAGCTTTTATGGACGATATTGTTAAGACCTGTGTATCACTTGCTAGTAGAAATTTGATTTACATGTAAGTATACATGATATAGCAAACAGAAGTACAAAACATGTGGCCAAAAACTTTAAACATTAACGAATGAACCGATGATGATCATTATTGCAGTGACATGATTTCCCTTAGTTTGTTATTTTATTGGGATCTCCATTAGTGTTTGTTACAATTGACACTATTCTTCATGGTGTCCATACAGTCAACACAACATAATCAAATACAAAATAACAAAAACTTAGGCAATATTGGTATTTTGAAAATAAGCAAAAAGATAATCAAAAGTTATACTTATACTTAAAAATAAATGTTGGTACATGTATATATTTTCCAAAATCTCTCAACATAAATCAGGCTAAACTCCATATAGAGAACAGCATCTTTTACTGTGAATGTCGCACTAATTAAACAGAAGCACAAAGTTTCATGATATGAGCAAGATAACAACATTCAAGATATTAAATATTCAGGAATGAACTGCCATTGTTATTGCCACAGCCATGTTTTCCCTCATGTTCTTAATAATAAAATTAATGTAACAGTTACACATGTTTTTTTTTTTCAAAATTAGGCTAAACTTGACATAGGGATCAACATTTTCCACTGTGAATGTCGCTCAACCGGGACAAGCATTGCAGTCGGCACCATGACCCTCCCCACCACGAATTCCATCGACTTTCTCAACGCGTTCATGAACTTCAGCAACCTGAGTGACAACGCCGTAGTGCTCTCTATCGTTTTGTCTGAGTACATCCTGTACATCATAATCATGGTGCTCCTGTGTGCTGACTTCAGCAAGTTAAGGGTAAGTATGTGGTGTAAAAAGCAGTTACTCAAGCAACTGGATATGCTTTTGGAAACGGTCGGACGTTTCATCTAGTATCCACTAGCTTTCGTCAGTGAGTGAGAGACCAGAGGAGAAATGCAGGTTTACAAGCACAAACTATTGATTGATATGCGAATTGAAAGTGAAAACAATTTTTGGGAGTCTAAAAAGATAGACAAGTCAGGACAAGATGATGCAAATTAGTCACAAAGCTCCTCTGCATGGTCTCAGTCACTGACGAAAGCTAGTGGATACTAGCTGAAACGTCTGACCGTTTCCAAAATCATATCCAGTTGCTTGAGTAACTACTTTTTGGCGTATCTTAGTATCTGGATGTCTAACCTTCATCGACGTATGTGGTGTGCTTTGTCTGATATCTTAAAAATGTATTCTTTTAATAATCACTTCTGGGTCGGAAGTATAGTTTTTCGGCAGTGCTTGTGTATGGATGTAGATGGGATTCTATGTTTGAATTCTATAGTGACAATGGTTGCTAGAAAGTGGCAGGTGTTTTGACAGTTACGATGTAATTTATAGATATAGGTTGTACAGCACCGATCTTGTATCCAACCGTACGCTAATGTGCAGTGCTGCTAGATTTCTATTTTGTCTTTTTGATTTATTAGCATCCACTAATTAATATGATCTAGTTGATATTAGTGTATAAACATAATTTTGATTATTATAAATTTTAAAGTAGATTAGTTTGCTAGAGTCATTAAATATTTGCATTTTATAGTTCTATTTATGTACAAGTTGCCATACATATACTTTATGCAGGTTCTCCTTCATCGGATACATGTATATAATATTATATATTAATCAAATATTCCCCATTTTGTGTACTTTAGGGTAAAAGATCCCAGGACCAGAAGACTCTGCCCAAAGTGAGCCTGATCCCGCCAGACCGGATGCCCGCACCTCACGTCTATCAGCTCACGGTCACCACCGGGTCCATGTTCGGGGCAGGGACCACCTCACGGGTCGCCTTCCAACTCTTCGGGTCAGAGGGCACGACCCCGATCAAGATGCTGAACCCTGGGGGAGAGGTCAGGCTAATTCTTATGTTCTCCTTGTATATCTTATAGGGTTTGTTGCTCTTACCAAACAATTTCCATAATCAGGCCTAATTGTTTATCACACAGTTCTTAGATGGAATTTAAATCGGAAAACGTGATAACTGGAGAACTTGTAATAACTCCTTTTTGGCATTGTTACGTGAGAATTCATAAACCTGTCTTCTATATGTATTTAGTACATTAATGAGATAGAGGTTTTATCATTTGAGAGAGAATTATTTTTTTGTAAATCTAGTAAAATTTCGTAAAGGAATGTCACATATTTGATAGTATTGTGTGTATCATGGTTTTTGATTGGACTATTAGTCTTTTCAAGTACTATATACTTAGATAGTTCCATGATCATTTAGGCTAATCATGTCAAACGTTATGTCAATGCTAGGTGCTGGTAACATAAAGTAAAACATTATAAGGTGTATGATAGAAGTGCAACACAGAAAGATGATTGTTATACGTGTTGTATGTAATTTTGTCAATCGCTTACAGGCTTTGGTTCGTGGAAGTACTTTACATTTTATCATGCCTGTGCGAGAGTCACTTGGAGAAGTGATGTCGTTGCGCATCTGGCATGATAACTCTGGGGAAGGCAACACGTCAGCCTGGTTCCTCGGAAATTTTCTCGTCAGAGATGTAGAAAAGGATGCAGTGTAAGACCCTGAAGACATATCCCGCCTTCTGTTTGGCTGCTATTCTGAACTCAGTCTTTTGATGAAGTTCTCCTTCAATCTTATAGCCTCAAGGCATGTTGAGCATGCAAGAAATTCTGTGAGTGTGCAACTTTCAAAATGTTCAGAAAAACGGACTGCCCCTTGAGTACATGTACAGACTCCAAATTACGACTAAAATACTTTGCTTGGTGAAATGGGACCAATGGCAATATCCCCTTTACCTCGCTCCAATACACTACGATTTATGTTAACAAACATTCAACTTTCAAACCATGTATGTATTCCTGGTGACCTCATCCTATTGTATTGCCTAGAGCATGCCAGTTCGCAACCCTGACAATCAACTGAAACCGAATCTCCTCCCGTCCCTTACAATCTTCGCTGCTCGTGACAAGATACACATTCAAGGCATCCAATGCAATTTCATGGCAGTAAATAAAAACATATTCTTGTT